AATGAAATGCTAACCCTTATCCACAAGAGCAGAGCCACGCATGAACGGGAGCTTCAAAATAGCAAAAGGGAAACTCTGCAGGAGGGTGAGAAAGACGGTCTACAAACGTTAAAGCACCCTCCAATTTTAATAAAGGGCTGCATTTCAGAAGCCCTCCCCGAGATGCTCTTCTTCATCTCTCACGCTCAGGTCCGATTCTGATTCTCCCTCCAAGGGAAGCCCCGTTGCTCCCCCCAAAGCCGCGCGGCCCTGGCCCTGGGAGGCCCCGGCTTCTCCGCCCCACCGCCACTCTCGGAGAACCCCTCCGGGCAGGCGGCGGGGCCCATGGAAGGGGGCCCTGGCGCTCAGCCCTCACCGGACTGGTCCTCGGTGGTGTCCGCCTCGTGGATCTGGTTGTCAAACCACATGTGGGCCACGGTCATGCGGTTCTGGGTGAGGGTGCCGGTCTTGTCCGAGCAGATGGTGGACGTCGACCCCAGCGTCTCCACGGCCTCCAGGTTCTTCACCAGGCAGTTCTTCCGGGCCATGCGCTTGGCGGTGAGGGTCAGGCAGACCTGCCGTTCCAGGACGGGGAAGGCGAGATCACTCGGGGTGGGGGCTCTGGGGCAGACATGGCTACACATCTCTGTTATTCCAGCAACCCCACCCTGCCTTCAGGTGCCGCGAGGTAAGTCGCTTTATCGCAAGAACGAAGTTGCGTGTCCACAGAACCTGCTCGCCGCAGAAGGCAGGAATCGAGCCCTCCCAAGGCTGAGTCTTCAGCCTCGTCCACCCATCCTTTCGGGGGCATCCTTTCCAGCCTCGCGACTGGCCTCCCCCGGCCCTGCTCTGCTGGGAGATGCCCTGCGTCCCGCCCGCTCGGCTTCAGCTCTTGAAGCCCGGTTGCCTTTCCAGGCGACCCCCTTCTTGCCTGCCCCACCGGCCCCCTGTTTGGAGGAGCCTCCCCCTTTATGTTACTCTACGGTGAGGCCCCACCCAGCTTCCTTGAGAATGGGCACCTCTCCTCCTCCTGATGCCAGGCACTCACCCTGCAGGAGCGGGCGCTGCTTACCGTGACAGTGGCCAAAAGCCCCTCGGGCACATTGGCCACGATGATGCCAATCAGGAAGATGACTGCCTCCAGCCAGGTGTAGCCAAGGATGAGGGAGAGGATGAAGAAGGACATGCCCAGGAAGACGGCCACCCCGGTGATGATGCGGATGAAGTGCTCGATCTCCATGGCGATGGGGGTGCGGCCCACCTCCAGCCCGGAAGCCAGGGAGGCGATGCGCCCCATCACGGTCCGGTCCCCCGTGGAGATGACGATGCCCCGTGCGGTGCCTGGTGGGGGAGAGGGGACAGTGAGGGCGGGGCCATCAGCCCTGCTTAACAAGCCCTCGCCTCCCGGGGGCCGTCCAGCGTGAACCGAGGGCCCCATCGGAGGCTGTCCTGCAGCCGCCTTCTTGGCTTGCTCTGGCCTGGCTGCCCTCTGACCACCTTTCACCTTCCACGCAGTTGGTGGAGAAGAAGCAAATGTTGCGCGTCTCCAGGGGGTTCTCGTGCGTGAACTCCGGGGACCGGGTCTGAGGCTCCGACTCGCCTGTCAGGGAGGAGTTGTCCACCTGCCCGGGAGAGAAGAGCAGGGAATGGCCACCAAATGCCCCCAGGGTTGGGGGGGGTCCTCCTGGAAGGGACAGCCCCCAAGACGAGCAAAGGCACTGTGCCGAGCCAGAAGGAGCGGGGCAGAGAAGACCTTGGCTCCCACCCCAAGTAATGGCCCCAGTGGGAGCCCTCGCCAGACGCCAGACCGAGCCCAGAACAGAACGATCCATTTGCTCTCCTGTCACGGACATCCACCATTATTTTAATGTTGGATCGCGAGGCTGAAAAGGAGGGATTTTAATACCTGAGAGCCCTTTCGTGGCCTCAACTTACCCGGCTGCTGTTTTGCAAGTGAGTTAGCCCAAGCGAAGGAAAGCCATAGGTTACCAAACAACCCAGCCTTGTGCATATTTGGAAGGCAACCCGCTCCCAAAACAGGAGCCCAGTGTTTAAATCAAGTAAATGTGGATTCCAGTGCATTCAGGCACCCGAAGAGCTGCTCTAACTCCTGGGCTGCTCCGAAGGCAGGGATCCCATTGGAAGAGAAAAGGCAAAGTTAGGAAGATGGAGTGGATTTTCCACCTCTTTCCGCCCTCAAGACACGGGCCGACATCTGCGTGTCCCTCGGTCCCTTCTGGTCCTCCTGGCTGGACTCACCTTGCACCCGTGAGAGGAAATCACCCGCAGGTCCGCAGGAATCCGGTCCCCGCCTCGCACCTCCACCAGATCCCCCACCACCACGTTTTCCGCGTTGATCTGGATCTTCTCTCCTTCCCGGATCACCAGGGCTTGCTGCGGGGGGAGAGACCATCCAGTGGACCATCGTTCCCCTTCCAACCGGCTGCCCTCCCTTGCCAGGGATGAAAGGCCCGCTGGCATTGGCCGAGTGCCCGCTGTCGGCAGGTGTTGGGGACGTGGGGAGTTCCTGAGCCTCCAGGTCTGGCTTTTGTGCATGCGGTCCCATCTTTCTGGCTTTGCGCAACCTCTCAGAAGGGGAGGCTGCAGCCGGGGGTAGGGTCCCCTTTTTCCTATCTTTTTCTCTCCGGGGGTCACTCTGGGGGGAGACACGCCATCCTCAGAGCACGGAGCAGGGTTTGGCTGGGAATCCTCTCGCTCACCCCACAGTCTCGGAAGCAGTTTTCCAGTTAAAAACGAACGTCTGGATTTGGCTGGAGGTTGCGGGGGTGGGAGTCCCAGAGGTCCCAGGCTCAGCAAGGATTCTGGGTCCCAAGAGAGGGCTCTTCTTCTGCAACGGCCCTACCTACCGAGCGTCACGGGCCAGGCTCCCCTGCCTTCCACTTACGACCACTTATGTTTTCCAGGCCTTTTTCTCACCCCCAGCGTCGGTTAAGGAGCCAAGGCCAGACCCGCCTCCCCGCTGCTGTGGACTGGCAGTGCCGAGGCACGATGCATAAATAAAAATAAGACAGCGGCCCTGGCCCCCTTCCTTGGGGTCCTCATTTCATCCCAGAAAGGGGAGCCCCGAGAGGAAGCGAGGCTCACCTGAGGCACCATATTTTTGAAGGAGTCCATAATTTTGGAGCTCTTGGCCTCCTGATAGTAGGAGAAGCAGCCGGTGACAATGACGACTGCGGCCAGCACCACGCCCAGATACAGCTGGGAAGAAACGTTGGAGAGAGGGGGAATCTGGTCAAGCGGCTTGCTCTTAAGGACACACTTCCTTCCATGGTGCCCCTCCAACCAGGTGGGCACACTGGTACCCTGAGATGGCCCTGAACCGCAACTCCCAGCATTCCTCTTGGCCGAACTCAGTGGCTGAGGCTGCTGGGAGCTGTAGTCTAACCACAGCACAGAGTTTCTGGTACTTCTGTTGGGGAGTCAAGCTGCTTTTGAGCAGGGCAAAGAACAAAGCCGGGGGTGTTAGGAACGGGTTCGACCCACCCTGCGATAATGGCAATGAACCAGCAAAGGGCAGGGGTGGTTCCCCTGAGGGTTGTTGAGGTCCAACGCCCATCTTCCTCAGCCGGCTTGGTCAACAGTGAGGGATGCTGGGAACTGTAGTGCAGCCACACACCTGAAGGACCTGCTTTGTGCTGGACCAATACACCAATGGAAAAGCCCTCCTGCACCTGATAGGCCAAGGTGAGTCATGTGATGCCCCCTGGCTGCCTATAAAAGGCTTGTCAGAAGCACAGAAAACCTGGTTTCGTGGAAGGGTCTGCTGGGGGTGGGTGAGGAGGGTGGGGGGAAGCGGAGAGAGCTTTGTAAGAGGAGAAGGAGAGTGGGGGAGCCACGCAGGAACAGGAGCTTACACAGAGGCCTTTTCCCCTTGAGAAGCAAGAGCCGAGGGGCTGACTGTAGCTTTCAGGGGAGGCATTGCCATCTGCAACTCTCAGGGCTTCTGGGGTGCTGCTCCTGGGGGTCCAGTGTCTCTCCTCCCTGCCCACTGCTGGAAATGCTGGCGAGCGGGGGGAGCTGCGGAGGGTGGGAGGAGAACGGGGGGGGGTCTTTCCCCTCTCCCCCAAAGGGCTGAGCTGCAGACTCTCTGCAGACTCATCCTGGAAAGCGGGAGGGAAGAAGTCGCCTTTAAAACGAATAAGGGGAAAGTAGGGCGGAACAGCTGCAGCCTCCCCTGCAAGGAATCAGCTGGGAGGACAAGCCATTTATAGCAGGAACTTTTCTCAGAAGGAGGGGAAAAAGAACGGCTTTCGGGGAGCAAACGGCCTCGGCTGCCTTCGCTTGCTTGTCTACAGCAACGGGCAAAACAGCCTCTGAAGCTTGGCCTTCACGTCCGTTCCTCCTTTCTCCTCTGAAAAGCTGGTCCGGGGAACTTTCCTCAGACGTGTGGTCGGCTTCCCCGTTGTACAAAGAGACGCTTGGGAAGGGGCAGGAAGCTGGCTTCGCTGCTGACCGGGATCCCTGCTGGAACTGATTTTCTGAATAATGCCTCTTAGAGGGGTCCCCCCCCCCGCCAAGGACTGTCTGCTTCAAACACACACCCCAAACCGGGTCCAGGACAGGCAGTCTCTCCTTTGGCCAAGACGGGCTCTTTCTGCAACCAGCCCTTTGCTCCGGGAGCAGAACCCGGTAGACGCCCCCGCCTTGCCTTTGAACAGACCCCGAACACTCAGGCCGCCCCCTCCCCCGCCACCGAGAATCTGCTGCTGCCGCTGCTGCT